GGATGTCCCATTATCCAGCCCCAGAAGCCCTGCCACACCACTCTCCACTTGCTCCAGGTGAGTTTCCTCGTCATCCCAAGTCCAGACCTGAGCATCTTCTCATTAAAAACAAGGGCAAGACATTTGACCCTTTCCTGAGGAACAGACCTGGTGCTTTCTGACAGGTGAGATGCATATTTAAACAATAAATATATAAGTGATTCAGGAAGATTCTCAAGTTAATCTAGAAGGATAAGTAAGTGGGAATAACCAATAACATGTTGAAATGGAGGATGTAAGAAGGAGAGCACACATCAGATACTAAAGGTACTATAACACAGCAATGCCAGCTAAAAACCTTTGGTACTGGCTCAGAAGTAGACTGAAATGTGTATTAAAATTTTGCATGTGATAGTTCCGGTCAAGATGGCAGAATAGACGGTCCCCAGTGTCACTATCTCCCACAAATCAACCAATTTATAACTATAAAAATGTAACATCAGCCAAGCTGGGGCTGCTGGAGCTCAGGGGAAGAGGAGGAGAGACCTATAGAGTGCATGAAGGGGGAGAAGCCACGATGAGAGAAAGAAAAAACTGCTCTGAGCGTTTCAGGCTGTGACCACTTTAATGCTGGAGCTACTGAGCACATGGAGCAGGAGCCTGTGGGAGCCGCAGCTGTGCCCTTCAGATGGAGTTACTTGGAGGCAGCAGGGGAGAAGAGGACCTTGGTGGCCCCCAGGACAGCAAGACCACTAATAGGGTTCCTGTGGACCCACCCAGGAGTGAGGAGCCAGAACAGCTGAAAAAGGGGAGCCGTTCAAAGGCCAGTGAGTCAACGCAGGGACCGGTGCAGGGCCCATCGCATGGGAAGTGTTTGGAGCATGGGAAGTGTTTGGAGCATGGGCAGTGAGGGAGACAGGCCCCCGGGGGAACACTGGGACACAGCAAGGACAGCCAATCTGCCCCCCACTCAGCTCAGGACCACTCATAGGAGACTGGTCGAGAATACAGAATTGCATGGGGTGCAGTTTGATTCAAAAACTCAGGCCTAGATCAGAGTTTCTAGACAGTACAGATCCACCAAGTCTCTGGAGAGCTGGAAGTACCTATAAGGTCAACCATTAAACCTTGAGCTGCACAAAAAGCCTTCCCTAGGGAAACAGCAGCAAAGCAGCAATTTAGCTCAACCACAGAGCTCAAGTACTGGTTCCCCCAGGATGTTCCTCTATGTTAGAAGTAAGCAAAGGACCCACCAGGGGACATGAGGTATGGAGCTTGGGACTGGACCCCCACCCACAAGCACTCACACCGCCAGCACCTCGGGGCCCACCTAGGGACCTGAGACATGGAGAAGGGGACCAAACCTCCCACCCACATCCAGGCACACCGCTTCAGCACCACAGGGCCCACCCAGGGATCCGAGGCATGGATCCAGGGACCAGATACTCTCCAGTGCCAAGGAGCATGCCAAAAAATCACCTCCATGTGGGTGGCCCACCACAGCCACCACAATAACCATGGCTGCCACGAAAGTGACTAGATGCCACAACCACCACGCAGATGGTCTGCCATCCACTGCAGTGCATTGACACAAGGAGAGTCACCAGCAGAGAGAAAGAAAAGAAGAGGATGACTCTCCATAAAGCCCATTTCAGAGTGACAGAAGAAGCATCTGCTCTATGATAATATTGGGGGACCTGATTGCACCTCTCAGCATTGAAGAGATAATCCAGGCAACAAATCAACAGAGTAACCATTATTCTTTCAGAAGGAGAGAAGAAATCTAGGGTAATTGGGGGAGGGGGGAAGGAGAAGGGGAGGGGGAGAGATTGGACAAGGGGCATAAAGAACAATTACGATTTGTAACAATATATATGCTAGTAATATTGATTTGGTCAACATATCTCAATGTTGAACCCCCAAAATATGTATAACCAATTTTAATTCAATAAAAATTTTTTAAAATTATTTTTAATTAAAAAAAAATTTGCATGTGATAAAGGCAGCATTTCAAAGCAAGAGGGAAGAAGATAGATTATTAAGTAAATGGTATTGAGACAAATTCTACACACACACTGCACCCTGGGAAAAATACTCAGCATATAAGACAGTCATATTTGAATAGGTATGATAAAAGTCCTTATAAGTCAATAAGAAAAATATGAACAGAATGAGCTGTTACAGTGAAGTGCTATATATGACCATTAAATATGTGGAAAAAATGTTCAGTATCACTAGTAATCAAAGAACTGAAAATTTAAACAGTTGTGCTATGCCATTTTTCCACCTGTTGGGCTGGCAGAGACACTGTGAAGCCACCTGCAGAAATAGTGAGAGTTCTAGGGAAGGGTCCTGCCCCTCTTTGCTAGGGGAGTGTAAGTTCTGACACCCTCTGAGGAGTCAGTAAGCAGTGCCTGAGCACAGCCGCAGATAGCAGGCATCCAGCGAGTGGGCACACAGAGGTCTGTGTCTACAGAGCTTTGTGGTGACAAGACATTACAGCAACCCAAAGTGCAGCCGGAGCTCTACACGCACTCACGGATTAATCATGGAAGGGGAAGTGTGTTGTGTAGAAAGGCGTTCCAATATAAATGAGTGAGTAAATCAGGTTAGAAATCCTGCGTACAAACTGTGTGCGATCCTGTGTGCACGTGTGCCTTCCACCTGCACATACAAATCTGGAAGAACATGGCACAATCTTAACTGACTGTCTATATAATAGGATTAGGGTTTTTTTTAAAAATCCCTCTTTTTACTTAATACTAACATTTGTCTGATTTTTTTTTTTTTTACAGAAATATCTTGTTTGTGTAATTTTTTTTTTTTTTTTTAAGTACTGGGCATTAAAATTACCCAATTTTTAAAATATCCCTATCAGTGCATTAATAGCATCTATTTTTTTTTTCCTTTTTGTCTTTTTTTGTGACCGGTAACGGGATCACAACCCTCGGTGTTGCGCCCGCACCGCGCTCAACCAGTGAGCGGACCGGTCTCTATATGGGATCCAAACCCTTGGCGGGAGCGCCACCACGCTCCCAAGCGCCACACTCTACCGAGTGCACCACCGGGCGGCCCAATAGCATCTATTTATTTATTTTTTCTAAAAGATGACCAGTAGGGGATCTTAACCCTTGATTTGGTGTTGTCAGCACCATGCTCTCCCAAGTGAGCTAACTGGCCATCCCTATATAGGAATCTGAACCTGTGGCCTTGGTGTTATCAGCACCACACTCTCCCAAGTGAGCCACGGGCCGGCCCCTATTTATTTTCTTTTATATGCCAGTTGTATCCACAGTTAACTCCAAACCACTTATGTTATTTTTTGTACAGCTGCACAAAAAATTGGGCATTTTCCTGGCTGTGGGGTATTTATTTTTTCTTCATTTTACTTAAGGTGCATGTGATGTCCTTAATACAGACTTTCTTCTTGATGCCACCAATTCCTTGCCTGCCCTCTGCGCCTCCTCCTCTGGGGTATTCTAGCCTCTCAATCAATGCACAGCATGAGTCATCCTTTGGGCCAGAACCCCAGTGGTTTTCAACACAAAGACCTTTTAGAAGCTGCTGTAGGAAGAAGTGTCTCTGGGGCCTGGCGTTGGGGTGGGGGACTGGGTGGAGTCATTACAGGAAACACAGCAGAGGCCACCACAGATTAATCTACCCTTCCAGACACCCAAGACCTGAAATCGACCATCAATTTTATATTCTCATCTTCTGAGAAACTTTATGTTTTCAAAACCGAGCTGATATTTATGCTTCCTACAAATGAAATTTCTTGATAATGTTCCCCAGTTTTCTGCTCAGTAAAATTAAGATGTTAGCAGCTCCCCCTCAGCTCTGCTGTAGGAAATACCCTGGTGGCCTGGGGGCCACCCACCTGGCCGGGGCCCCTCAAGAGTCTGGGTCCATACCTGGGGCCTTTGCTGGCACCTTTCCTCCCCAGACCTTTGAAGAGTTTCTTTTTTTGTTTGTTTTAAAGATGACGGGTAAGGCGATCTTAATTCCTGACTTGGTGTTGTCAGCACCATGCTCCCCCAAGTGAGCTAACAAGCCATCCCTATGTAGGGATCCAAACCCGTGGCCTTGGTGCTATCAGTACCACATTCTCCCAAGTGAGCCACGGGCTGGCCCTTCAAGAGTTTCTTTTATTTTGCAAAGTGCTTTATTTTCACTTGGTTTGATGGTAATTTTGCTCAGAAACTTACTGTGTAGTCTGCTCTTGGAAACTAAGCAGGGTTAGGCCTAGTTAGTACTTGGATGAGAGATCACCTGGGAAAACCAGGTGCGGTAGGCTTTAAAAACAGAAAGAAATTTACCAGGTAAGGTTAAGATTTCAAACCTACACCAATCCCCCTGCCTTTTCTAAGGAGTAGGAGACAGTTCTTGGTGTTGCTAGTTGCTTTAGTAATGGTGGCATCCTGAGCTGAGCAGTAATAGAAATACAAATTAAGAGAAAGGTAGACTTTGCCTCATTTAGAGGTTTATTACTGAGAGGAGTAATACTAGCCGATTGCCAGCAGGACTGGCTGCATAATTTGTGGGGCCCAGAGAGAAAATTATAAAACATTTCAAGATGGTGACAGCAGAGCATTAAATCAGCCCTCTAAATGCGGGGCCCCGTGTGCTGTCCAGATTACATGGCTTGTGTGGCCCCTTCACACCAGATTCTCTGGACAGGAGAAAGCTGGTATATCCAGGAGTTGCAAGTGACACTAGCTGATGAGAAGCTTCTAGAGTTGTTTAGTACTGGAGTGCTTCACCTGCCCTGCTCTCCTGGCTTGTCTGTGTCAAGGTGTGCCTGAAGAGGTGTGAAGGTGTGCCTTCACAGGTGGCACTGTAAGGTGATGGGAAGCCGGGGTCTGGAGTGGGGAGACCCCATTCTGGCCACGCCACCGGCCAGCTGGTGGCCTTGGCGACGCCCTTGGCCTCACAGTCTGTGAAGCCTGTGGCCCTTCAGGTGAAGGCTGCTGTTACCTGCAATGCACAGTTGACATCTGCTCTTTTCTCTCTTCCATGTGCAGAAATTTATCGAGTTTGAAGATGCCTTGGAACAAGAGAAGAAAGAGCTCCAGATCCAGGTGGAGCACTATGAGTTCCAGACACGCCAGCTGGAGCTGAAGGCCAAAAACTATGCAGATCAAAGTATGTAGCTGGTGGGAGAGGGGGTCGCATGCGAGTGTTTGTTGTTCTGAGGCTGACCCAGCCAGGAAGGCTACTGAGAGCTTTTGATAAAAAGAATTTAAAGAAAACCCAACAACAGTCTTGTTTTCCTTTCACCATGATTCCTTAACTGTTTATTTTATCTCTGCGCTGCTTGTATTTCTGTAGTCAGCCTCAAATCATGGTGGAGATAAATAAAATAAATGGATAAGGTGCCTTTGGTTCATAGCACTTTTGCTTAATACTGTAGTCTGACCCGAAAGTCACAAATCTGTGGTCCTTTCGGTCCTTCTGTGGCTCTTCAGAGCAAAGCTCCCCATTTCCTCACCCTTTGCACTAGTGAGCAGTGACTGCTTTTTCTTGAGCTGAAGCTTGGCTCTGCCACCACTATAGTGACAGTTCCTAGAAGGAGCTTGCAGCTGATCAAGTGTGTACCCTGCAGGGCAAGGCAAAGAAAGGGTTTCCTTAGGTGATTATTATAAGAACAACTATTTTAGTTTTCACAGTCTTTGCTTAAAGTACGGTCAAGCTGTAATTACTTGTTTCATATTAGCTTTCTGTAATTAGATGTTTTGATGGCTGAAACTTATTTTGCTGTTTTACGTAGTTACCTTGGATGGCAGATGCCTTCATTTCTCTGAAAAGTTAAGATCAAGTTGAGGATAAAATTGGTTTAAAATGTGGGGCTTATTCCTATCCCACACCAAGACTTAAAGGCCCCTGTGCTGAGGATCGGGACCTGATGTCTGATGGTCAGGAGGGGACCAAAGGGCCAATACATACGTACATGTGTAACTGTGCTGGTATTTCCAAAACAGAAGCAGACCTAAAGGCCCATGCTAGGCATGCAGCGATAAACCCTCCTATGATTATACAAAATCTCTGATGTTCCCTTTGCTTAAAATGCATTTCATGTGTGAAACCTTTTTAGCTCTTTCTTTAGAAGGAAAAACTACATAAGCTCAAATTACAGGCTGAAGTTACCGATTGGTCAGCACCAGGAGTGAGGGCCAGATGAGAGGGTGGAAGAGGCTTCTGGGCTGCTCACCCAGGTGGTGGCTGCACCCCTGCCCCTGCATGGGTCACAGAGGGCACAAGGCTCTACCCCACAGTCCTCTCCAGGGACAGAGCACAGGCCCAGGTCAACATGCCTGGAGTGGAGAGTCTTCCTCCCTCCTCTGGCAGCCACTTATGTGTGTCTTGTGTGCCATCATTTGTGATCCTGTGTGCCACACATGCACCAGTGTCCACAAGCCATGTGTGCCACACATGTACCGGTGACCATGAACCATATGTGCCATATGTGCACTGGTGTCTATGAACCATGTCACATGTGTGCTGTGTCCATGATTCATGTGTCACATGTGTGCTGGTGTCTGTCGTGTCAAATGTGTGCCAGTGTCCACAAGCCACATGTGCCACATATGTGCTGTGTCCATGAACCATGTGTGTCACACATGCTGTGTCCATGACCCATGTGTGCCACACGTGCACCAGTGCATGTGAACGGTCACACGTATGCTGTGTCCATGGTTCGTGTGTGTCACACATGTGCCAGTGTCCATGTGTGATGTGTACTGGTGTCTGAGTCATGTGTACCATATGTGTGCTGGTGTCTACTATATGTATCATATGTGTGCCATGTCTGCAAGCCATGTGTGTCATGTGTACTGGTATCTATAGGCACCTCAGGCTCCTCAAGGGAAAGAGCAAACCAATTCTGCTTTGTGCAGATTCTCACTGCTCCTCAAAGCAGGGCCTACCCTGGCAGTGCCAACAGTGCCTGGGAGCTTGGTAGAAATGCAGACTCTGAGGGGACATGATGCTGGCCTCCAAGGATACAACAGGCTAGCTGTACCCCAGGTCACTCAGCAGGAGTACATGCCAACCCAAGATGAGATCATGAGCATGTAACTTATAAAATCCATTGAGGGCTGGCCAGTTAGCTCGGTTGGTTAGAGCACAGCCTTGTAACCCCAAGGTCAGGGGTTTGGATTCCCATACCGGCCAGCTGCCAAAAAAAAAAAAAAAAAAACCATTGAGAAGAGACACCAGCAGCCAGAGGAAGATGGGGAGGGCCACACACTTAGGACAAGGCACAATCCAGTGCAGGATCACCACTCGAGCCCCAGGCCACACTGTTTCACAGTCCTGTCTCTCTCCTTGCTATGCCAGCCTTCCCACTTGGTGGGCCACAAGGACAGAGTTGAAGTTTGGACAGAGGGCCACAGAGGAAGGCCTTGAGGCTGGTGGCGTGCTTGCTCTGTGGGTGGGACAGGGCGGGGTCAGCCGCTTACCCACGTCTCTGGGGCAGAGTGCATGTAGGGCCAGGGGGCACCATCCTGGGTTTCACCTGGGGCCGCTAATTTAGGGGAGACACAGCTGTCCACCCAGAGGGGCATGGCCTTGACTCAGTCTCCCCAGCCCGTGGTGGGTGGGAGGGACGCTGCTGTTTGCTCCCTGCTGTGCTCCGATGTCCTGTCTCCAGCACATCATGGAGGTTGCTCACTTTGGGTTCTGCCTCTTTCCACTGCTTCTCACTCACTTCTCTGTGCTTCTCCTGTGAGCTCTGCCCACAGCGCAGGAGCTCTCGGCTGGCTTGCGCATAGATAGCGTTTCTGAGTTCCCCGTCCTGTGTTTCTTCATGGCAGAACCGAATGTCCTCAGGTAGCATGCACACACACTGCCTACCCAGACAGTGGCCTTCCGGTGCCCTGGGCTTCTCTCCCAGGACGCTGATCCCTGTGAGCTTGCAGTGCTGCTGCTGGGCTGCACCAGGCGTCAGTCTGTGCTGTGTCCTGAACCCTCTGCCTCTGGCAGTTCAGCCCACAAGGGGAGGTTTGTGCCACAAAGGACCGAGTTGGGCAGTTGACAAACAGTGGTTGTGTTTTCCAGTTTCCCGGCTAGAGGAGCGGGAATCGGAGATGAAGAAGGAGTACAACGCCCTGCACCAGCGCCACACAGAGGTAGGTGCCCAGGCTGACACCAGCTGGGGGCGAGAGGATGGCCTTAGCCTGACGCCCGCGATCTGCTGCTGACCCTCGGGTGCCTTGTCTGGGGTTTTCTTTTCTGGCATTCTGCTGCCGAGCCTGAAAGCTGTCGGCCTTGTGCTCATTAGATCCCATTCCACTGATCTTTGACTTGGTTTCCAGAGTGCAGTATGTCTGGAAAGGAAGTGCATTAGAGAGGGGAGGGAGACAGGCCTGGGTCTGCAGCAAACACTGATATGTAGTCTTCTTCCTTGCAGATGATACAGACCTATGTGGAGCACATCGAGAGGTCCAAGATGCAGCAGGTCGGGGGAAACAACCAACCCGAGAGCGGCCTGCCCGGGAGGAGGTAGGCAGCACTGGAGCGGAGAGCCCGGTCCTTACATGCCCAGCCACCACTGCTGTCCGGAGAACAGGAGCGCTCTGCGGGCTGCCTTCTCCACTGACCCAGGTGGAGCATGTGGCTGAGACAGGATGAGTGTGGAGGTCACCAAGGCTCCTGAGGGGTGTGTGTTGAGCTGGGCGCGTGCCTTCCACGTGGTCGCCAGCACAGTCATGGAACCTGGAGAAACTGCTTATAGTTGATACTCAGTAGTCACAGGTTCCATGTTGGCAAATTTGCCTGCTTGCTAAAATACAAAATACAGAGCAGGGAAAACCTCAGTCACCTGCAGACTCCCAGTTGAGGTAGCTGAGGTGGCCGAGGCAACACTCTGTCCTCTGGTCTGCCTCACACCAAAGGCCCAGGGGTGGAGGTGGGGCCAGGGAGGGTCCTGCAGGCCACTGGCCTCTCGCACCTGTTACTGGGTTGACCTCTGGCCAGTCACCTGACACTTGTAATCTTGTTTCTCTTTTGTAAAATAAAATAGAATCTACTAGGATGAGTTGTTTTTAGGATTGAAGATACAACCTATGTGAAATATGTATATATACATACCTGTATGTGGACATATTTCCCCTGGGGCAGCGGGTTCATGTTCGAGGTGACTTTCTAGGACATAGGACTGTGTGTGGATGAAGAAAAGAGGCTGGGCACCTTGATCAGCCCCTCATCAAGCCTCATTCCCAGGAGCCTTCTCAGGAGCCTGTCAAGGTCAGGTTCCTTCTCCATTTTCTGTGCCCTTTGAGTCAGGATAAAACTGGGCCCTGGGCCCCAGGGAGCCGAGTGTTGGAGATCTGTGTAGGACACAGCCAGCTTGACAGTCCTGGGAGACCAGTGCCTGCCTCCTGGGCCACAGACGTTGGCACTGACATTCTGAGTCTCCATCGGACGGGAGGAGGGACCTGAAGTTGGAACCCCCAGGACCACAGAGCAAGGCAACATCTGTGGGGTCATAGTCCACATTCCTACTGCTGAGCCTCCCAAAGCCAGGGCTGTGACGGAGAAAGCAGAAGCTTTCCTGAGTACCTGCCTGTCCTACAGGTTACATCTGCAACAAGAAGGTTCCGGACTTCCCACCCCAGGCTTGTCCATCACTTTCTTGGTGACGGTGGGCAGAGCAGTTAGATCTGCACTTCAGAGTCCTCTTACTTGCCAACAAAGTTGCATAGTGTGTGTGCGGGGCCTGGCAGGGCCGAGGAATGGGCGAGCAGATGAGTCTCACTTCTTTTGGTGGGGAGTGGGATCCGCAGCCACAGCGTGGTCAGTGCTGGTCCCCTAGAAATGGTGGCACAGGCCATTTATTACCTGGCCCCTAAGCACTGTGAGAAGTAAGCAGGTAATACGGATGGAAGAGTTTGGTAAACTGTAAACCCTTGCAGATGTGATCATTATATCTGAAGGTGGGAAATGTGGGTTCCAGCTGCTGCTTCACGGCTCCAAAAGTTTTCTCCTCAACACACTCTGAAGCCCCCACTGCTGGGCTCAGAAGTCACCAAGGGGATTTCCAAGTAACTGGAATTGAAATCCCACTAGAATTGGGGGGCTTCATGATGTTTTTGTGCGGAGCTGAACAGAGCAGTCGGAGCTGGGGGCAGAGGTCTGGGCATCTTCTGATGAGCACAGGGCATTCCCACAGCTCCTGACAGCAGCTGCATTCCACAACCTTCCGGCACTGTCTCCCTACCAGTACACCCTTCAAGAGTTTACCCTGGGAGCCTGGAAAGCATGACCTCTGAACTCGGGACTGCAGGCCATGAGCGCTCAGGGTCCTGAGTCACAGTGGTCAGCACCCCGGGCCCCATGGATGCTACATAAAAAGGCATCCTCAGACCTCAGGATCACATTGGCTCAGCCAAACACAAGCTGACCAGGCTCTGGGGCCAGCCCCTGGAGTTTCCACCCATCACTGTGTTCAGGTCAGGCCTCCGATTCCTCCTCTGCATATGAGAGGTGCCAGGGCTGCAGGGCAGGGTGTGCTTGGCCAAGATGTCTCCATTGTGAGGTGCAGGCAGCACCTGATCAGGGAAGATGCTGCCAAGGTGTCCCTCATAGGACCTGTGGCCCCAAGCAGAGTCCAGACCGAGTGCAGTGCCAGTCCCTTGATTTCTCGCTGGTGCTGGAAGTTGGGCCGTGGCAGACGAGCCTGTGGGAAGCTGGCTTCCCCTCCTCACTGCAGCCCCACAGCCCCGGGGCTGGGCCACCCTCTTCCTCGTCAGGACTCCTAGATGCAAACGGCCCCATTTGTGGGGTCCCCTCTGTGGCTGTGCAGCAGCTCTTGAAGGTTTTGTGTCTGGCACTTCCAATCCCTAGAGAACCAGAGCATGCCCGTTGTGAGAAGCCCTGGATGCATTTCATAAGGGGTGGATCTGTGGGTGTTCCCGTCTGTCCCACTGCTTGGCTTGGCTCTTTGTCTCCTCTGGGCAGCGCAGGGCCTTTGGAGCCCAGCAGTGTTAAGAGTGACCCTGTAGGGAGCATCAGCCATGCAGCGGCTTCTCCCTGCCCAGCCCAGACCCCCAGGAGCACCTTCATTTGCAAAACGGGACCCTCCGGCCTGTCCAGGAGGGGGAAGGGTCTTTTGTGCAGATTTATGCCATGGCCTTGCATGCACCGACTGGATCCTGCAAGGAGGGATCTGGCAGGCTGAGGAATGAGCAACTGTACCCCCGTGTACCCCCTTAGACCCCTATATCAGAGCCTCCACCACATGTGAAAGCAAAGCCCGCCTGGCCCGAAGGAGACTCCACATGCCGTGTCTGAGAAGGGGAGTGTGCTTCATGGTCGCAGTGTCAGGGAGCACAAGGGGCAGTGTCCTGTGTCATTCTGTCTATCCAGCCGGCAGCGTTCGGCTTTGTCCCAGCCTAAGGAAGTGGTGGCCCCGGTCACTGGAGCAGTTGTCAGTTGTGTCCTATAGTCTCGTGCCTTCCCTGTGGTGGCTTCCCGGGGCCCAGACCCTGGCTGGCATGAGATGGTCCAGGGACCCCGGACATAGCAGCCACAGCCTCACGCTCCAGAGGGAATAGCTGGATGAAATAAAGAGAGCACAGGCCTTCTGTCATTGTAGGCGCCTTTGACTTTGTGGGGCTCAGAGGTGTCGTAGGATCATACTGCTGCTGCTGCTGTGCTGGGTGGGGTGAGGTGGGAGGGCCCTACTTGCACCCCAGTGCCGGGAGCCTGTGCTCCCCTCTCTGGCGCAGACTCTCCTACCTGTCTGTGATCCTATCTTCTCAGCTGCACCCCCCCCCCCCCCCCCCCCCC